CAGAAAACAGGGAAGTAATACCACGGGGGCTTTCCCGAGGAAACAAGTCATCAGACTTAAGAAAATATACGAGATTTTTTAAAAACATGTCTCGACAGTTCTTCTGTCATCTTCAGTTCTGATTTATACAAATTTAAAGTGTGTAACAAAATGCTCGTTGGACAAAACAAACAACAGAAACAAAACAATGTATGCAATTACAAGGAAAGTTCTATATTAAAAGGATAAAGATGATGATTAAGTGTTGGTTGCTCCCATTAAATGTGAATAGCTTCTTTCATTTTAAGTTGGAGAGTTGTGGAAGCGTGATCTAAGATGCTAAAACACTCATCAGAACATAAAGTGCGACATTGTTGAGAAATTTGTAAATGTCTTAAACTGTGAGATGTAATCTCACTAACCAAGTGCTCACGCAAGCGCGTGAATAATTGCCGAGAGGTTCCGCCGACATAGCAGGCATTACAGCCCGCACATAAAAACTTGTGAACTTCACACGTACGACGTCCACGCGGGTTGGGGTTTTTCACACCAAACATATTACTGTTTTAAAAGATAAAAAAATCAACTTAATATCTGTTATTACAACAACGCTTAGCAAAGTGGCGAACCCTTTTCTGCGTGACAACAGAAAAAGGTTCAACGTAATGTACTTTGAAAAAAAAGGTCGGCGTAGTTTTTGAAACGGAAACCGGGGGATTGCAACCATTACAGGTCAGCATGAGGTACCGATTAAAAGCTGATTTTTAAAAAAAGATTACCAGTAAAGTTTGACGGTAAAGTTTGACGGTAAAGTTTGACGGTAAAGTTTGACGGTAAAGTTTGACGGTAAAGTTTGTCAGTAAAGTTTGTCAGAGAAGTTTGTCTTTAGATTGAAGATGCCGAAACTCGTCCAAATCTCTTCATCACTGGAGAGTTTGGAAGATTAGACGATGTGGTGGTTCCAAAGATACATGAAATGGTCGGAGCTTAAGGAAGTTGTTATTTTTCCACAGCTTTGGTGAAGCATTATTGTTTTTCTTATTTCAGTTTTGTATTTTGTAATGTCCATAAGCGTAAGATGTTATAGTATCTTCGTGATTGTATCGCTTATCATCAAAGCAGCTGAGTGACAATTTATTTAGTTCATAACTTCCAAGTTGATAATTGTTGCTCGTAATAGTTTTCATTTTATGATGCATTTGTTTGTTATTGAATAACACTTTTTAAAGTATTTATGACGAATTTTTAAACTTCTTTTGCTGTTCTATCACTTTTCTCATTATCTGTTTTACAAGAGTACATTTTTGATCTAAAGCCTTCGAAATGAGTAATTGCCATACTAGAAGTCTCGTCTTTTAACTTGCCTTTAACTTTGTTATTTTTCTTATCAAAATATGGAGAATTTTCAGGATAGTCGCTATTGTCAAATTTATTGTCGTCATTCCAAAAATCTTGATAAACATCTTCAGTCTCAATTTTATACGTCAACGAGTCTGTGTCTGTGAATAATAATTTTGCTTTATCATCAAACTCCTTTTTAACATAATTATAACGAGAATCGTACATTAACGTCTTGGAAAGATCAAGAATACATATCGTAGAGTGACTGATGCTTTGATCTCATGAACAGCTGCTAGATTCTCATTAAAAATTTTGATGACACGTAAGTTAGCTTCGACTTCGACTATTGACTACGCTTTCATTGAACGTAAGCTTTGCTGACGCACTAAAATAACATTAACAACTTACATATACCAAAACATAATGGGGGAGGAATCTGAAATAACTTATAATTATTTCGCTTGAACGAGATGTAGAAGACAAGCATTTCTCGCCACAAGAAAACTCGATGAGGCGATATATCGCAATGAGTCATTCCTGATTCAGCGATAATTCGCTGGAACGGTTTTTTAACTGAAGCGATATACCGTGATGATGTTCGGCACGCTCTACGATATATCGTTATTGCGATATATCGCCGGAACGTTGTATCGTTGGAACGATTTATCGTCGGAACGAGATATCGCAGGAAAGCTCCGATATCTCGTCGATTTATCGTTCTTAAGGTGTCAAGAAAATGAACGATATATCGGAAGAACAAAGCGCGATAAACTACGATAATCGTTTGCATTACTTTTGCACAGTACTGTAATATACTGTAGTGTATATTTTAATAATCTTTTTGGAAAATACTCTTTGTGTGACATTTATATTAATGTTGTTCTTTTTTTTCAGTTTTGCTGTACTGTTTTACAGATAATGGAAATACGAATATTTGCGAATAATTTCCATGGTTTTACCAAATAAGCTGTTATTCATAAGCTTGAAGAAGTCTTTTTCAAATTAATTTTTAGCATTAGTTCTCTTGTTTGTATTTAAATCTATACACTGTTTTAGCCACGCTGACTGATTGAATTTTATCACTTGGTGAATCTTTTTTAATTTTAATCCTAAATCAAGATATAGCTGTAAGTTTCTGGGATCAATATCTGTATCTGGGCCGATGGCGCTATGTAACAGAGCCATTTAATTTTACAATAAAACAGCTTATGTAAAACAGTATCAGTAAACAACCTTTATGTTATTAAGGTTAATTAAATAGCCTTATGAAATAAATGTTTTAAATGTACTTTATTATCTGAGAAACACCTTCAGAAGCCAATCCAGCTAAAGCAGAAAGGCCAAGTGTTTTACCTATAGTCGGAGCTAATGTTCCTCCAAGTGATCGAGTTTTTGTCGACAGTGATGCCCTAACTTGTCTTCTTATGTTTTGTTTTTGCGAGTGGAATATCGATACCTTTATTCAAATTTTAGTTCTTTTTCTGTCTATTGACAATATTTTTTGGCGCATGCAATGTAAACAACCCTTATGTTATTAAGGTTAAATAAATGGCCTTATGTAATAAATGTTTTAAATGTACGACTTTGAACTTTTCGAAAAGCGCGAGTGCTAATGTTCGTAAAATGCGACTGTTGAATGTTCGTAAAATGCGACCGTTAAACGGTCGTAAAATGTGACCGTTAAGTGTTAGTAAAATGCGATTTTAGATGCTCGTCAATAAATATTTGTATACTATCAACTGATCGATTTTATTTTGCCGGATGGTAAACCCTTCATTTTGTATTCTATTTCCAAAACTCTTTTGTACTATCTGAGAAGCACCTACAGAAGCCAATCCAGCTGAAGCAAAAAGGCCAAGCGGGTTACCAATGTTCTTCCAAGTGATCAAATCGTTGTCAACACTGATCCCTTAACTCGCCTTCTTATATTTGTTTTTGCGAGTCGAATATCAAAACCTTTATTCAAATTGTGGTTCTTTTTTCTGTCTTTTTTGGCGCATGCAATGTGTCAGTCCCAGTCAATGCGTAACTATTCAGTCTCAAAACAATTCTTTTTCTTTTTCGATAAGCACCACTGAATAAGATTCTTTTTTGTGTTTTCGGATAGTTCTACGTTGATTTCATAAAGTTGAGTCATAACTTATGTATATTATATTGCATAAATTTTGATGTTTGAATAACATATTCAATTGAAACATCGGAATATTATAAGCCACTTTTTTTGTCTTACACAATGACCAACTCATTTCCAATTTTATCCATTTTAACGATTTCTTCATATAGTACAACTGCGTCAACTGTAAAATTCTGAATCGCGTTTGCTGATAGTTTGAATCTGCAAATCAGCTGTTTGGGATCTCTTAAAAAACCATGAGATAAACCAGCTATACAATGAATCTTTTTTAAGGAGTGATTCTTGGAATCCATAGATTAAATCTACTGACTACTACTCTTCCAGCATATGTACCTTAAGCCACTCGAATCGATTCATCATCATCCTGTAATTCAACGTGAATTTGAAGTCACACAGGGGGCAGCATCTTGTCTCTAACTATTTTATGACTTCAACACGAAAAAAGTGTGTAATTTATTAGAATTCCGGTTTTCATCCACACATGCGAAATGAGGTGCTAGAACTATCCAGGGACACTGGACACCACTTAGTATCCTAGCGACTGACTGCAGATTCATCAAAACAAGTTGACCGGCTTTATCGATCGCAAACCTGTTTTGATCGCATGAGCTAAATGCACGGTTGACTAAAAACGTGATGGCGATTCCTCAAATTGTGGGCTTCAAAACTGAAGCAGTCGATGAAGAAGGAGTTTGGTGTGCGTGCACTGTTGAAGAAGTAGACAATGATACGTGATCGTAACCTGTGGGATGATTCCTGAAACATCTTTGCTACCACCTACGCCGTCATTATTCGCAGCCTGTGTATTTAACTGCATTTATTTAATTTTATTCCATATGTAATGAAAATATCAAATTTCGACATAAAAGATGATGCTATCACAAATTGTGAACAACTGTATTACTTTATGCCAGATATATGTTTCAGAATGCTTATATATGTTCCCAGTAGAGCTGGTGGACGAACCTACTTCTCTTTATGACCTATCAATTGTTATATTATGATAAAATATATATTTATGCAAAAAATATCGAACAATCAACATACCCAGACCTTACTAAAACATTTAAACCAATACTTGATGAAATTGGTTACGACGTCTTTGAATCAAGATTGAATCAAGATTGACCCGGTCAATCAAACAGACGCTTCAAACAAGAAATAAGTTGACACTATTGCAAATAATATTCTCGATGGCTCTGAAGTCTTTCTAAATGACATCAATCTTATCAGCAATAGAATAAAAAATGTGCACACACCGGTGAGTAGTTGCGACGCAGTCAATAAATTATTTTGTGAAACAAGATATCGTAAAAAGACAGATGATTACAAATTCTTAAAAATATAAAATGATGATCGATGAGATGCCAAAGGGGAAACGATAACAGACCTCAAAAGAGCACAATACGATGATGATGCTATAAACCTCAGCCAGTTGATCGACATAACAAACAACAAGTCGATTTAAGGAAAATTCAATACCCCAGACAAAGAGCAAGAATAAAAATGCCATTTTGAACGCCACTGAGGCTCTGCGTCCACTACGTTATGAAGTCAGTAATTTCTTTTTGTTTGAAGATGAAGTGAAAACAGCTCTCACTTCAATTTTTGAAAAACACTGCGTGGGCCAAAGCTCTTTGAAACGAGCTAAGATGTCACGAATTCCAGCGTCAGCAGTCCTCGAAGGGGAAGTAAAGATGTGGCTAAAGATGCTCCATAGAGGCCTCAGTCCAAGAATGAAGGCCCGAAGCGCTTGGACCGTAGATTTCAAACGGGCGATGTCCTCGGAAATCTTTTCCTTAATTTTTCAGTGTGTAAAAAAGGCCCGTTCCGCTTATGGTGTTTCGTACAAAGAAGAAAAACACACAGATGTAATCTACTATCAACGAGAGACCAGACTTATTCGAGACTTTGCCCAGTTATCTGAGCTAAGCAGCGACTCAGTCCGAGAATTCCTAATGAAGAATAGTAAAAGAACAAGTAAAGGAACTTTAAGTAGTGGTGAAAGCCCACTAAAAATTCACTAATGAATTTGGCTACACCTTTTCGTAAGCATATAAGTAATGAGAACTCGACTGAATGGAGTATATTTCAGGCTGTTTGTAATTATAAGTTGTTCTAACATTATGCACTCGGTTGATTTGAAGTTCTTGCCCTGCCTTAATTGTACTCCACTATGAATCCTATTAAAATACAATACACATGCTTTATCAATATTGGAAACAATGTTGGAATGCCGTTCAGTTAGAGTCGTTTTGTTGGGACAAATTTTAATCAAAACCACAAAACAGAGGGGTGATCAAAGTGTAATTTATTCTAACACTATCTTAAAGGTCCTACCTGCTGCTAATACAATTTATCATAATATAATCTCAATTCAACAGTGGTTTTGAGTCAGACTATGTACAGATTTAGTATTAATTACAAAAGCTGTGGAGCAATCTTTCCATCCTTAACAGTTTGCTCAATACGTTTTATGATTGGGTCTCCACAGAAACAGCACTTAGCATCCTCACGACATGCTTTTAACAGACCGCAATAGCAATAAGATGGATCACTGAATACCCTCTCTGGGATGTAGGCTACATTTTTGCATGCAGCTTCTGGCTGCTGAAAACCTTGCTGAGGCAGCCAAATCAGCATCACATATTCATGTCTAAATATTTCAACCCATCTGTTTTGATATGTTGTATTTTCACTTAATTTCTTCAGAAAATATGCTTTGCTTCTCGCCCTTCCATAGTTACCATTCCCAACCCCTGCCCATACTTTTCAAGCATCTGACGACAATGAGTGGGGACAAAGTGACCCAATGTCCAGATAGTAGGATTTACAGAACTTGGCAAAAACAATGAATTTACTTTAAAATACTCATAGCAAGCAATAGAAAGCTGATCAATCTGGTCTAATGGTATCTCAAATCTATTAAAGAGAGAAACACAGTCTCTCAGTCTCACACCTAATTAAGCTAAAGTAAGAACTGTTTGACGTTCTTTCCTGGAGTCACTTTCACAGCTTAGCCACTTGATTAATCTTATGAATTTATGACTAAAACAACGGGAATCTTTTCCAGACCCTTGAGATTCATGGAACCATTGTTTTGTCTTGTTTGTAAGGTGCCTGGTCTTTACTTCTGTTTGTAAAGCTGTAATAACTCGTGCAAAGGGGCTATCAGGTGGAAGCTCAGAAAACTTTCTACAATCAGCTGGCAGCTTAGATTTTCTTATAGCTTCTGTCAAAACTGCTTTAAAAAAGTACTGCCAAGCATTTTTCTTCAGATGAAGGGGTTCCACATGAGCTTTATCAATATAAGAACCTAATAGAGGCAAAAATTCCTGTCTATTATTTTGTTTGGCAATGAAATCAGTGATTTTAGATCTCTTTGTCTTCTCAGAAATTTTTTCAAGTGCTACTCTTTTTTTTAAATGCTTCAACGTTGTTGACATCATTTACTCTTTGCTAGTAATTCCATGGCTACCCCTTATTTGACCTGTCAGTTCCAAATGTACCCTTCACATCCCTACAATCAGCTAATGAAACATTTGCAAAGGGTGAGAATAATGATGCCACCCTTCTTCCAACATTGAGGAAACTGACCAAGAAAGAACATGCACTCTTATTCTTGCCAAATGGGCATCCGTCACCACCAAGAGCAATTTGAAAAGTGCCTGTTGATTCTGTAAAGCCTCTTAAGCTTTCTTTTATATTCTTCGAGAGATAAAATTTGGCAAGAATTGGAAGGTATTGTCTTAAGTCTCTATATGCACCATTCACTGAGTTTTCAGTTTCTAAGCCCTCCAGATAGTCTGGGTCAATTTCATGAACAGTTCCAATATCGATTTATTTTAACTGTTCCATAAGGTTACTATAAGTGAGAAGCTTTCTTTCCACAATCTATCCAAATCTTCCTAAAGCCTGGAAATATATGGATTTTGACATTCGCAGCCTGTGCCAGGCATTGAGATTCCACTTACTAAAAAACTTGACATTCTTAAAACTCTTACTACTGGTATGTATGTAGATAGAGTCTCAAACAAAAAATGACAATAAAATAGAGAGTCTTTGTTCTGGAATGAGTTGAAATGTCTATACCCACTTATATCATACATTGATATTTTGATGTTCACAGTTTATAGACACTGTCATTTATGATAGTCTTCTGACTGACCAGATGAACACAGGCACACACTCAGGTTTCTTGCTCAGGCACTGGCATAGAAGCCTGGCACTGGCTGTCATTCTGGTACTGGCTCTGTGTTCAGTGGCCAGTCCACCTAAATTTAATTTGCAAAAATATTTTTTCTTTCCACAATCTATCCACATCTTCCTAAAGCCTGCAATATATGTATTTTGACATTCGCAGCCTGTGCCAGGCATTGAGATTGCACTTACTGAAAAACTTGCCATTCTTAAAACTCTTACTACTGGTATGTATGTAGATAGAGTCTCAAACAAAAAAATGACAATAAAAGAGAGAGAGAGTCTTCGTTCTTGAATGAGTTGAAATGTCTATACCCACTTATATCTTGCATTTGATATTTTAATGTTTGCAATTTAGAGACACTGTTATTTATGACAGTCTTCTGACTGACCAGATGAACACAGGCACACACTCAGGTTTCCTGCCCAGGCACTGACATAGAAGCCTGGCACTGGCTGTCATTTTGGTACTGGCTCTTTGTTAAGTGGCCAGTCCACCAAAATTTAACTTGTAGAAATAATTTTTCTTCTCTCAAAGTTGATTATTTTTCATTAATGTCTTTATCAAAAATTGGCACAAAAGTTTCATCCATCTACAAGTTAATGAAAACCTACAGTCAGAAGTTGTGCACAGCAGTTTTTTGCTGCACACTTACCAGTACTGTAATTTTGTTATAGTGTTGATTAAACGTGTAATTTGTATCAGCATCTCTTGTTGTTTGTGGGACTACAGCAAGAGGTGTGACACTAAATCTAATTGTGTTGGAATCGATACCTGAAGTAGGTGTTTTACTAAAGACTAACAGTAAAATAGGGAACTTCAGAAAAAAAATCGAGCTATGCTGGTTTGCTTTCGTAAGTTATGTAAATATCCTCGTACATTTGTGATCCTTTATGAGAGGTAAATCATAAGACGATCAAGATTATTTGACATATATATATATATATACATATGTGTGTGTGTGTGTGTGTGTGTGTGTGTGTCCTGTAGTTGACAAATGGGATAAGAAGTATTCACAAAATTCATCTCCGAATAATTGTTTTGATATCATCAGCGATTAGTGTTTTAATTCTACTCCACTATTGCTTATAAAATTCTGATGTTCTTTTTGATTTGAAAGTTGTTATATTTTTGTATTGTAATCTTATCATCATAAGTATTTGTTTTAAAATGAAATCGATGTTTATCATTCTTTTACGATCACCATTAATCTGAGGTAGCACACTCTCAATCTTATAAAAAATCTCAAATATCTTAATTTTATCAATCGTTGTTATCTGCATGTTGTCCTTACTGCATACATCAAAGATTATATTCTAGATTAAACTGATTTTTCTCATAATATTAAATTAATTTTTGTTGTAATCGATGTACTCATTCAGATATTTATATCTTTGAATCAAACCACAACTTACACATAAATTTCTCCGCTACCGTTTTCAAGTTTCATCGTTTTACAACATTTTTCGTTTTTCACAGTATGTTCTTGAAGTTGCACGTCACAAATTGGACATTAAATCTATCCCATATTCTCAAATTCCTCATGAATTTCATTGTTGTAATCCATTATTCTTATAATATTATATAGGATATTTTTTAGATTAAAAGAAAATAGCAATGCTATGAGTCATTTCCTTGGGAGATTCCCTGATCTTCTTAGAATGTCACGCAATGGAAAAAATGCTTTAAGATCATGTCGCTAATCTCCTATAGTATAGAGAAATATATAGTATTCCAACGCTTTGATAATATAAAATTATTCCATCATAAAGAAAGTAGTATAGCGAGTTGGAGTTGTTCAAGTTCACTTTACCAAATTCACACGTGGAAGCTCTCTGTTGAGGGAAAAATCTTAGCTCATGGAAAAATCAAAAGCGGAAAAAAAAAACAGACCCGAAGAAGAAAGAAAGAGTATCATTCTGGCGTGGCGCTAGTTGTTTGCGAACCTTTATGAGCTAAAATCTCGCATATGACTTTGGGAGGAATACAACCCCTTTGAGCAAATTTATAGGGTATACAGATTTGACCGATTTTCGTCAAATCTCGCCAAAACATCCAGGGAATAATGACAAACGAAAGTGTCTCAGGAAATTTTGATATTTGAAATATTTGTCCAGTGGTGTTTATTTACGCAACATGACTCACATATATTTAGCTACTCCGACTTTAGATGCCGATATTTCGACAACCAATCAGAATATCGAAAAAGCCTGGCATACATTTGTTGATTGATGCCTTGTGAATGAGACTGAGCAGCCATTTTGCTCGTGCTGCGGCTCCGATATCTGATAAATTCAACAGAAGAACCTTCGGTCGTTTCGCGCCTTACCGGCTCCTGAAACTTCCTTAAAAAAAATTTGCTTAAATTATATATTTATCTTATAGTTTGCTAGGATTTTAGCGAGACTAGAGCGAGTACGGATTTTTTCCCCGAAGGACACCCGCGAAGGTGGGAAGTAACCTTAAGTGACAAGCTCGTTAGCGTCTGCCGTACGGGTTCTACGAATTCCCTCAATTTTTTTAAAATTCTTTAATTATTAGCATTACGTTACTATTAGCAAATCAAGAATTCATCTCTTCGCAAATTCGCGTCATTTTCGTGAGAATGCGCCACGATTAACCTGGAACATAGCAAAGACGTAGGGCTCAATAATAAGGACGTTGGACTTTAGATGAAAAGATTGACTCTTAGTTAAGCCCCGGCCAGAGTCACTGTGCAAAGTCTACTGTCCACGTAAAGTTCTCAGTTAGCGAAGTGAGACTTTCGTTTTTGGAAATACAGTTTTTGAAAGTAAACATAGACAACTTTAACAGCCTCTAATTTGGTTACCGGTAATCAGAAGTAGACCTGTCTCGATTGTGCACTTAAAATGCCGGAAAGTTGCTCACTGGAAAGCAAAAAATTACTGAGAAATTGCCAAATATTCCAGCAAGTTGCCACCTAAATTTTCACAAGATGCCACCAAAATTCCTGATTTTTCACTTAAACATAATTAAAAGCTATATTCTTCGTTATTCGCATTAATAAACTTAGCTTCAAATTGTTGCTCGCACATGAAAGTGTTTTCTAACCATCTTTTTCCGTTTACAGAAAATGGATTAACAGACAGCCATCTTGCCATCTTTGTCGTCGTTTTAGCCGATTACCCGGTCTAATATTAGACAATAGGCCACCGAAACATTTAAGAAATTGCATAAGTAGAATTTTTGTAGGAAATCTTTAACTTTATTGTGCTTAAGATGTGCTCTTAACCTAAAAGTTGCCAAAAAATTGCTCATAGAGGCCAAAATTGTTCAAGGTTGTTAGAACCACGAAAAGTTTCTCCCAACGTCAAAAGCTGCTCAAGAGTTGCCGAGAACCATCAGGATAGACCTTATCAGAAAGCCAGAAGCAGAAATAAGTGGAACTCTGGGGTTCTGGTAAGATTTTCTGTGTGGTGATTTTAAAAAAGAACAAAACTGTATTTTTTTCTCATTTTTCATTTAGTCGAAAGTGAAAAATCGGTTGTCCTGAATCTAAATCAGAGTTTAATCCGAAGAATTTTGTTTTAAAAATTGTCATTATTCATGTTTGATTTTATTCTTTTCATTTTCCATGTAGTCAAAACTACAAAATCGGTTAACCTAAACCTAAATCAGAATTGAATCCGAAGGAAAAACGAATTTTTAAATTTTTATTTTTCATTTTCGATTTGAACATAAAATTATTTCCAAAAATACCTGAATGATTTAGGACTGTAATTAAAGAGAGAGGCTTCACCGAAACATTGTCATTTGCCTGATGGTAGAGGTTATTTAAAAGGCCTCCAAACAAAACTTTGACACATTTTCACGTAGCAATATCAGTATCTGGGCAGCTGCGTGTACACTTTAAAGTAAACAACGGAACTAGTTTGGAAGGGACTGTAACGACAGAGAGAATTTCGTTGAGTTTGAGGAAAAAATAAAGACTGTAAGTCACCAGCTTAGGTCGGTCCGTATTGGGAAAAACTGTGCCCTCTGTCTTTTTTTCGCCGTTTCACGGTTAACATAGTTAAGACCTTCTAACATGTCTTGCCTGTGTGATAAAACCTCTATGTAATAGATAAACTATGAGCGGGAGCCCTTTATGAAAAATTGAATGTTCACTTACAGTCAATTGTGAGCTTCGACTTGAAAAGGGGTGTAAAAACGAAATGCCTCGGGAAGAGCTCTCCAGTTTGGTTGCCTCACATGTTCCAAAGTAAATTTTACTTGCGAAAGATTATT